ATTTAAAGATGAATAAATGGAATGTCATAACTCTGACCACTGTTTTGCCTCGATTCGTTGATAACATTTTCCTATTATTCCAACGAAATGAGGACAAGCTGGAAAGTTAAAAAATATTTCGTGCATTACGTGAAAAAAGAGGATAAAAATGACCGAAGTGAAAGCCAACCACTGTTACTTTCTGGACACGACGGTAAAGAGGGCACCATCGTTTGAATTTGAGTTTACTGTAGATCAGAAACTGACACCCTCCAATCGATACCTGCACCCAGAAGGTCATGCGTCCCTTCAGGATTACTTAGAAACGTGGTAGGGTCCAAGAGACCTGCACTGACACTTCAGACCTAAATGCAGAAATCCAACAACTTCATCAAGCGTTCCCAAAGAACGGTTGCCAAAAGAGGATCCTTGACTAAAAACTTCTGCACCGCAGCTCCAATTTAAAAATGGCCAGTTCGTGTGGATCAACAGTAATTTTACCGTTTATACCCCAGGTATCTCAATGAATCACAGGTACTTCATTTATGTGGGGCTTAGAGTCTACTACAAAACTGGCAGAATATTGGGCAACCATTTTACATAAAATGTACATGACCATTAATAAACCGGAATTGTTAACATGCAAAAAATATTGTCTGCGAAGTTCAGTGCTAAGACTGCGACAATGTGTGCATTTGAAAGACCAACCGGAAATTGAATATGCGTATAATTGAGAATCTTGCTGCTGTCCGCCTTGAACAGGCTGACAACTCTGGTATTACCCAACATGTGATTGCTGAAGGACATTCTTTCCGTCACACCGATGTGTTCGTCATTGAGAAAGACCAATCTAACTTAGGTGTTGTTGTAAAGAAATCCTTGCATATACTGGAAATGATGTGCAACCTGGATGTGCAACGAATACGCAGCTTCTGTTGTCATCAGTGAAAGCTGGGAGCACACTCACAGAATTGATAGGGAAAATTGGGTCAAAATGACAAAAAGATTTGACATGACGGTGACAATGACAAAAAATGTGATTTAGTTTGCTCGGACAGTTTAATAACGGTTTATGTGTATATGAAAACCGATTGAAAGGTTGGCATTGTTCGCTTGTTCGACTTGAATGCACTGAAAAACCTATTTGTACTCAATCCAACCCTCGTGATGTTGCCGTCTGTGCAATGAAACCCGTTGGTGATTTACCCATGAGCAGTTTACGTCTCGCACTGCCTGAACATCGCTGCCTGATCCCGCGGTCGAGTCGCTATTATTTCACAAAGACTGAATGTACATGTGGATCATATTTAACTAGGCCGGCAAGTTAGTCACGATACCTCCTATCCGCGATGAACGTGCTCACACGGAACCCAAGAACTCACCTGTGGTCCCAACATTTCACCAAGACGATAGATTAACTACAACGGTAAGCGCTACGGATTCACTGGTAACGTGTCAGCTTTTTCAACGATTTCCAAATGAGGTAAAATTCGACTCTCCTCATTTTGATGACGATTGCCGAATTATATAATGTGGTGGTTTCTGGGTAGTGTAACTTTCAAATCGGAAGCGTAAACATTCTTAACTATAATTTTTATGACAATTTCGTATACAATTTACAATCTAACCATAACACTGATTGATTTTTTAAAAATCAAACAACGCTAGGAATAACACTGTGATTCTCCGCACTCGCTGCAAAGCAGATATCGACAATTAAACACCATATTTATTATACGCCACTTTATTTCTATGTATACGTTGTGTCGAAACACACCTCTTTATAATGCTGCTTCAGTAGCGACTCCACTTCCTTCGCGTGCTGACGGTCTCTGGTCTCGGCAACGATTTTCAACTACAAATACAAAACTGCAGGTCATAAACAATATCAAGTAAAGTAGGAAAGGGGAGCATCAAAAATGCAAGATCCTGAACTAGAACGGGTAGAAGAAAATACTCAGAAGAATGAGAGGGAATGGTCGATTTTAATTCATCATTTAATTGGCCAAGTTTAGCATCCATTCTCCTTGTAGCCATTATAGCCATAGTTCCTCCAGTTGAATAAGTATTTGAATATGACCATTAGGAAACCAGTTCATTCCGTAGTTGCAGCTAGAGTAGGATGAATTATTCACCGATTGTCGCTTACTTCTAGTAGCATTGCCTGGCCAATAGCTAATTCCTGTGATCGTACATAAACATGAATTCTTCCAGAAATGAGAGGAAGGCCGAGGAGTCACTAACTCATCTACCGACCGGGTGAAGAAGAAGGGAGTGCTACCAATGACGTGGGGCAAGTGACACGACGGACTCTGCTTCAGACCTTGATCATTATCTGCCGAAGGTCAGACGCTGCCACAGGAACGAGAACTTTGCGAACACTGCGTGAAGCCGCTATCTCCGCGATCCGGAAAGATAAGCGGCCATCGAAACTCACTGACAGGTTAACAGCAGCCTCAGCCTCTGAAAAATTTTGTTCTTCAAGAATGACTTAACAAAGTAATTGCTACATGTTTTGATATGCCAGGCGAAAATCAATCGGTCATTATGCATAACCGCATATCCTTTTGGGTCACAGAGGCAGGCGCGTTAGACTGTGCTTCCACCGTTCTTGCTCATGTTCCAGCGTTTGAGCTTTAGCAGAGGATGACCCCAGTCTGTAGCAGAGTCTTTCGATACACTTGTCTCAAGTAATTCTTCAGCCAGTCGGTTGGGCAAGAAATGGTTGCATAGCTTTCTTTCTGGAAACATTCCCTCACGTGTTCAAACCGTCGCAGCTGTGACCTCTCAATCTGGAAAAGCAGAGGTTGTGAGGGCTTAGTCTTCAGACTCGATTCTGCTTTACTCATAACCGTTTTGGTTAATTCACGCAAAATGCCTCTGGCCATTCCAATTCGTAGGTCAATTTCCTCCCAT